CATGCTGACCCTACATAAACTATGCAGGGTTCTGTCAGGGCTGGCAGTATAAAAATCCTGCGTAAAGGTAAGAAACATCGCCAGATATTTTAATACTGATAACCCGCGGGATCCTGCATGAATTTTGGTTATTTTTTTCAGTGGGTAGACTAGTAGAAAGAGAAACGGCTGATATTCTTTCAGCATAATCTCTAGTAATACTTAGGGCATACCAAAAGTAACGAGATTTGCAGATAATCAAGTTTTCACTTCAGTAAGTATTTGAACTAGTAGACATGATTACCCACGCACAATAAATTTGTTTTAAAACATTTGCTGAAAGTTTTTTTCGAATCATCTTTGACTGAAAATTTTATCAATTTTGTTACAGCACTCAATGCAGTGATTAAAGGTCGTTTGATTTATTAAGCTTATGAATTAGATAGAACACCTGAAAACCGCGTAGTATTGGACCCGTAAAATACGGTAAATATAAAATATTTAGATACGTTTTGACGCGAGATACCAAAAAACAGCTTTGTGAATATACGGTTGAACGTTGTTATCTGATGATCTTTGCTCTTTCACTCCCTTGACACGTTTTACGGAATTTTTGATATAATATTCGTGATTAGAAATTTGCTCTTTCCGTATCTTCTATTTTTTAAGAGTATTTGGCTAGTTAGTTTGAGAAAAGGCATGAAACATTGTTGTGAGGCTAACTTGTTGCTTCAAACTGTAGGCGGTAGAGATCCTCTCTTGAAATCCTTCTAATTCGAAGAAATGAAGTCCGTTTATGTGTGTCAAATCTAGAACTTGTGACCTACTACCACTTTATGCATCAGCTCTATTTCTTAGTCGGCCATGACCAAGAAAATTAACCGATCAAAATAATTCTTAATCGTTGTATGCAGTGCTGTAACCAAAATACTCAACTTTTTAATCAAAGATGATTCGAAAAAAACTTTCAGCAAATGTTTTGAAACAAATTTATTGTGTGTCTACTAGCTCAAATACCTGCTGAAGTAAAAACTTGATTACCTCTAGTCTGTGGGGTTTTACCTGCAAATTTCGTTATTTTTGGTATGCCCGAAGTAACATCTCGAACAATAGCCGAAGAATCAATATAAGCAAAGTTAATCAATTAGAACTTATATCATTGATGGCTAGATACTAAAAGGACTGTTGATGCTTGTCTTCTATTCTTGATAATGGTTGATTGATATATTCGATAGCTAATGAGTGCTCGTTTACGATTTCGATAGTAGCGTTCAATAGACTTTCTGTATTATTTTAGTTCTATTGCTTGTATGACTTGTCCTTTTTCGTAGACTTCCATTCTAACTTCACCTTGACGAATTTTTATTTCTGATTGCGTTAGTCGATTTTGGTTTTCGGCGACTCCTTTTTGTAATTCAACTAACTGAACGGTTATTTGAGTTAAAGGACGATACTTTAATTCCGTACTTTTATTTAAACATTTAAAAATCTTTAACAAAACAAACGTTTCGACCTCTTTTATTGAGGTCTTCTTTACTGACCGTAATAAAATATATATAAAAATATAAAAATATAGTTAAAATTCTGTTATATTATATAAACATTCTTTCTGACGGTATACTTGTATCTTGTATACATAAATATTTCATAGCTATTTTTGATATTACTGGATATTTTTTAGAATTAGACTTCCACCAATTTAATGGACAATCTGTTCTATCTATTTCTTGTTCTTTTGTGTATAAATCAAACTCAGTATGGGATGAATTAGTAGTTGCTGATTGAGAACCAAAAATAAAATCGTCTAGATCAATTTCTTTTGTTGGAGTGAGAGGTTGAGATAACACAGATGACGATGAAGTTGGAGGTGTATGTTCATTATACTCTTTTAACAAAAGTGAATATGCTTCAACCTTACGGTTAAATGCGTTAAGTCCGTCTAAGGTTTGTTTCGTAATCACATGTTTATCATAATAAGATGGTGT